TGATGTCTCTGATAACATCTTCATATATGTAAAGCATGCTGAATGTAGATGGACTAATACAGAAATCCTCTTAACAGAAAGCATTAGATAACACTGGGTTGCAAACGGTTCACATGTAAAATACTATCAGATTTAGAGACATTGAGTAATGAACAGGAAACTGACTGTATCCTGGTTAATATTTTCATAATAATTATGTTAAATCATACAGGTTTTAAAGGCAATGCACGAGTAATTATACCAGGTTTAACAGCCTGTGTGGAGTGCACACTGGATCTATATCCGCCACAAGTAAGTCAGACTAATATTGATTGATTTTAGACATCTTCCACAGAAGGTGGGCTTAATTATCATTCTTACTGTACATATGTAATTATGAAGATTATTCTTCTTGGCCTCAACAAAATGTGTAAAACTCAAATAATTTTCACTAAAAGTGAGGCTAAGAAGGCTTATTTGCCATGAAAGAATTGGTCATCATAATCATCATGAGAGAGGCTTTTACGTAACAAAGAATTCTCATAATGCATTAAACCCTTGACTTATCTCTTTTAGTTTGATAGAGTACTTATGACTTGCATTTGCATTTACTCTGATCTGATTGGTAATACTTACACTTACTTGAATTTGTGGAACTTCAAGGAGTTTTACCCCCAAATTATTGTTGATGTTCAAATGGTTATACTGCACAAAGTTATTAAATGTTATGTACTTTAATTAATTTATAGTTTTTGTATTTTGTTTCTAATAATTAAAAGAGAGCTGAATGGGGCAGGAGTAAGCCAAGTATGATTCAGAAATGGATATGGTACTATGGTAGATTCAATCATTTTCTCTGGGGATGCCTGTTTTCTATCAGGGACTTTTTTCAGGCTACAGGTGTTGATGAGTAGTTTATTGTTGTTTATCTCACAGGTTAACTTTCCTTTATGCACCATTGCACACACCCCTCGTATGCCAGAACACTGTGTGGAATATGCAAAGGTACTAGTTTGGCCACAAGAACATCCCTTTGGAGGTATGACACTTTCATTGTAGGTAATTAATACTTTCTTTGGTTGCTGATATTGATAGTGTACCTTGCATAGGCTATTTTTGCAAGAGCCATCTTTCACTGATTAAGTAAATGGCAATTGCTTATGTTAGAGGGTGTGTCTGTTGATGGAGATGATCCTGCCCATGTTCAGTGGATTTACGACAAAGCCAAAGAAAGAGCAGATAGTTTTAACATCCAGGGAGTGACATACAGACTAACTCAAGGTGAGAACTCACAGAGAGACTACCTGTTGATAGCAGTGCTCTCGAGTACACAAGAATCAACTAGCACTGTAATAATATGGTCAAAGAAACCACTCCTTGGTATAGTGGTGTTTAGTCTGTCCTAGTTGATGGTAAAATATAAGAGAGCTTTAGATCTGACTACAAGTATGGCTATGACTATAAGGTTTCCTTGCCACAAGTATTTTGCATGACAGGTCATGCAAACTCTGGAAAAGTCGTAGCTAGTTATGGGTTTTACTGGAGATCTTGTATTCACACTTCAAATTGAAAGGTTAGTCAAAATTGTTCTTTTTCCAGATGTTTATTTGTAAAGTGTTCTATTAATCCTGAAAAAGCTACGCTCTCATTTGTCACATCATGTTTATTTTAAGTTACAAATTTGTTGCAGGTGAGGAAGACCTCAAGGGGCTAGTGCCACTCTACTCTTTGTCCAAACTTTTGTTGTAGTCTTACTCCTAGTCAGATTTAAAGCTCTCTTGACAATTGTTTCTCAGGCTTCTGTACAAAGTCTGTCATGTGTGTGGACTGTTACAAAAAAAATTTAACTAGAAGATAAATCCTTATGTAGCACTTATTATTTCTATCAAATCTTTTGCAATTCCATTTTCTTTGCCTGAAATTCAAGACAAAGGTTTGACATCTGTCTTAAATTATCTTTTCCTCAAGGTGTAGTCAAGCATATTATTCCTGCTGTGGCTTCCACAAATGCTGTCATTGCAGGTAAATTGACTCAAGTGGTTTACTGTAATTGCCTTTGGGATATGGGATAGACTTCAAAGACTATGGTGCAGATTAGAGTATAATATATATAACCTCAAATTAATAGTGCTAGTGGTAGTGGAGGTTGAAGAGTGCTCAACCCTGATTTCCAAATTGATCACCTCAGCATGCAGGCTTGTCTTGCATTATGATAGTTCAAATGAAGGAGAAGCTGTCCACTAAAACTCTTGCATAGGGTAAGGAATTTGTGACAATTATAGAATGGTGTTTCAAAATGCACCTGAAAGTGGTTTAGTACAGGCCATCATGGCCTCCATGGTCCTAGGGAACATACTCCATGGGTATAAAATAGTTAACTGAGTTCTTCCCTCCTCATGGCTACTACAGAATTGATGTACCTTGAATATTCATTTTGATTTGTACCAGCTGCTTGTGCTCTTGAGGTGTTCAAGCTTGTATCCAGGTATGGTTGTTGTTTCGTTGTATGATAGTTTACCATGTGACATCAAATAAAAACAGAAGTGGTACAGGAGAAGGGCATACTTAGGAAATATGATATTTTACAAATTCCCTGCATACAATTCTCATACTCTGCTTGCAGTGTTTTTTTTTTTGCCCTGTTATACATGAAACCTCTACCATATAGAAGTCGAAAACAGGTTATGCTAAGATATAAAACATCTTCTCTATAGCTCTAACTTATAGTTCTTGCTTTGCAATTAGCTCAAACTTACATCAATTTCACCCATTACTCCAGCAGTGCTGTGGAGAATGTTTCTGCCTATAGCCTTTCCTGTGCAGAACCACATTCCCTGTTGCTTCAGGAAGGTAGTGTCCTAGCTCAGTTAGCTTGCTGGTGATCCCTTTTCAATCACATTTATTTTTGCTGTTTAACAGCTGCTGTAACCCACTGAACAACTACATGGTTTTTAACGATACTGATGGACTGTACACATACACTTTTGAGGCTGAAAAAAAGGTAGCATTTACTTTTGGATGTTGTCAACTGCGAATTAATTAAACACTGAGGTTGATTACTCCATTCTATTCTTAACCCTAGCAAATGATAATTCTGAAAAAGGACTGTTATTAGCATTGGTCATTTGGTAGTGGGGCAGAGGGTATTTGGTAGGGGCCTTAAGGGGTTAGGAGGCCTGGGGGGTAGGGGTCCTCAAGGGGTAAGGGTGACTCAGGGAAGTGGGGGGCCTCAGGGGGCTAGGGGGTCTCAAGGGGGTAGGGGGTCTCAGGAGAGTAGGGGGTCTCAGGGGGCAGGGAGCCTCAGGAGGTAGGGGAGTCTCAGGGGGCTAGGGGTCTCAGCCCCTCCTAAACAAATATTTGGGAGAGGGGGTCACCATTCCCCATACAGTTTGGTGCAGAAATTAAAGCAAGTGCTGCATAATATTGTTTGGCAAAATATTCAGCTTTGTCATTTATCCACAAATTGTAGTATCAGCATCAGACTTAGTAATATAAAGTTGCAGGACTGATAATTGTTATTTGTTCTTCAAGGATGACTGCCCAGCTTGTAGCCAACAACCACAAGTATTAACCTTGCCTGAAGATGCCACCCTTAAATCCCTGATTGATTTTCTGATGGAGAGCCAGACATAGTAAGTATGAATAGATTGTGGGTATAAATTAAAGTGAAAGTTGATATTATTTTAATATTCATTTCAAATGTGTTTCTTCAACAGTCAGATGAAGGCACCTGGTCTGACAACTATTATTGATGGAAAAAACAAAACCTTGTACATGCAGGTAACATTTTCAATGAATTGGACTTCAAGTTAACCCCAAAAGAGAGTACAATAACCCTTAGAGAAGTGTATCAGAAATACAGCTTCTGCTCTCATTAACCCATTATTCACATCAATTCTAATACAGTAAATTATATGCTCATTCTTAGTTTATATTGAATCATTGTGGCACCTTATGAATAAAGGTTTGATTCTTGTAGACAGTGAAGTCTATTGAGGAGAGGACAAAACAGAATCTACCTAAGAAGTTAAAAGGTATGAAAGCTGTGTATATACATGAATAGAGATGCTCTATTCTAAGATTAATTGTCCACTGTCAAATTTTGTCAACTTTTGATTTTGGTTCTAGTACTCAACCATTAAGATATAGAGGGCTTGTTGGTGAACTGAGTTAATTTACAAGAAGTGCCTTGGATTCTGCTAGGATCATCAATTTTGTATGTAAATAGATGGAGAAAGATAATGTATTTTTAAGCTGCATTGTCAAACAAAGGAAAATGTTTCCTTTTTTCATGAGTGTGATGATCTGAAGGAAATGCTTATACTGTAACAGTTGGTTCTTTCCACATCAATTGAAGATTAGTTTTACTGCAATAACATACAAATTACTTTTTTGATACTTCATTTCTCTTTTCAGATATTGGTCTGACTGATGGACAGGAAGTGGTAGTAGCTGATTCCACAACACCTAAACCAATTATTTGTAGAATATACTTCTCCTCTGGAATGGAATGAAACTTTTATTTCAATGTTCTGATTAAAAGGTTTCTTACATTGTTATCAACTGATGATTTAAAAAAAATTAAAAATAAAAAAAATACATGTAAGCCTGTCCCAATTCAAAATTGTCCTGTTTTATACTACAATTAAAAAAACAATGCATGTTGTAAATTTTATATTAATTTCCTTGTGTTGCATAAATTTTTGTAATATGTTTTGTTTGTAAATAAAGTTATTTCCTTTGTTATGTCAGTTTATAGATTTTTCCACTGATCTAAAATGTGAATATCATATATTTGAACTGCACATGAAGATGAAGATGGAAGGGATTATGAACACTACTAATTTACAGCCATCATGGAAATAAAGCTTTAAAAAAATTTAAGGCATGTACAGCAGTTGAACCCATGAACTCTGTGATATCAATGCAGTGCTCTACTAACTGAGCTGACAAGCCAGCTGGGAGCTGGTCATTTTATTGGTTCATAATAAACCTGTGGGTGATGAATGAACGACTGTAAATATATGAATATCTTTTATTTAGAATGTGGATTATTGGAAAAATTTAGAAAAATCTTCTTAAGATACCTGAACAGAGACAACGCAAATATTTAACTGGTAGTAATTAAAGTGACATGAGTTATTTCTGCCTGTGACCATAACCTCATTGGCATGCCCCAGAAATGTACCCCACTTGAAACATAGACATAGGATCCAGACTTGTGTTGGTATAATCCTGCAAAGTATGGTTCCCTAATCAAGTGCCACAGATGTATTGGGAATAGCTGTCCTCCATGTGTATGGCCAGTGAGCACAACATCAACACTGTAATTATCCAAGGAAAGCTTTGCTACTTTAGGTCTGTGAGCAAGGAGAACTGTAGGAATGTTGCTATCAACTCCTTTCATTGCTTTGGTTAAGTCACTTCCATGATCTCCTGATCTAATTTGAAAAAATCAATTCAAAATTCAGTTACATTTCATTTCTAGAGCACCATACCCCTCTTGCCCATGGCACTTTGCAACTAAGTTAAAAATCACAGAATTGCTCACTAAGAATGCATTGCCAGCATATAACCCACCTTAGAAATCCACCTTCTATGTCATCTACACCAACTAGGCAAATTTTAGCATGGGATTTTTCTGGATGTGTCAACATAACATGAGAGTTGTGCAAAGGTGTTACACCAAGATATTCCAGCTCTTTAAGCCAACCATCAACATCGCCAGTATAGTACTCATGGTTTCCTATCAAATAAAAGGCACATCAGATTGGTAGTCCTTACTCTCTCATCATGTACCCTTCTTTAGACAATATCAAAGGGAATCTCTGCTGTGTACATCCATGGATGTGATCTGGATTCAGGATCAAAAAGGACTCTGGTTTGAAAGGTCCTATTTTGAGCCCTGGTAAGGGCAATTTGTTTTGCCATAAGGAAAAAACATCAGACTCCCACAGTACCCTCTTCAGCTCAAGAGTGTAACTGAATACCAGCAAGTTGCCAGGAAAACTTGACAAATTGCCAGAAAGGTACCTGCAACAGACCTCTGTTTCCCATCTTGGATGAGTAACAATCCTGTACTCCTAGTCATTTTATGTGAGATAGGCACTAGCAGAACTCTTGGCTTTGAAGACTTGAACTAAAAGAGCATTTAAAGCAAACTGAAAAGTATGTTCTCGATCTATACCTGTCACAAAATAAACACCATATCTTGCTTTCAACTTAAGCAATGGTTTAACTGCCTGTCGAATCTGATACACAGTTGAATCAACCAGATCTCCTGTTAGGGCGATGACATCTGGATTTAATTGATTTGTAGTTCGAACTACTTTTTCCAGCATGGTCTTCCCTACGGTGGGCCCAACATGCAAGTCAGGAAGATGAACAATCGTGAATCCGTTTAATTCTGGAGGGAGATTTTTAACAGGTAGTTTAATGTTCTTCACCAGCGGTTCTTTAAGACCATTATGTAGTGCTACCAGCGCCAACATAAATGAAATTATGATGATACCGATAACGTGAAATCTTGCATAGCGTGACTTTGATGCGAGAGAACCAGAGCGCGTGTTAATCGCTCCAAACAGACACGTCACGAAATCAGCAAGCAAAGTCGCCGTTGTCAACAGTATAAATAATCCTAAACATATGTAAGACAACAAAGAAATCCAATGCGGCTCAATGCCAGAAAATATTGTCCCCAGCATAATACTTCCTTGGGCTAGGATGATAACCACCATCAAAAGAAGGAAAAGAATTCTGTTTAGAACGGAAGCAGAGTTGAAAAGTGGAGAGCACAGACGTAACCATAAATATCTTGCTGTGAAAAACATGAGCGACTGTGTTGCAAGCAAGCATTGAATCAGGATAAGTTTATACTTCGTTTTCTCATTTACGTCCAAGAAGTAGGTTCCTATTATTGAAACCACGTTTATGCTTACAATTGCGCCCACAATGACAAGAACTTTGTCGAACTTGGAACTTCTTCCCGACGCCATATTGGAACAATTTCGATCCCAAGCTCCAAGCCACGCTCAAATCCTACGTGGTTTTCTAAAGTCACTCTACTAATGACTTCCGCATCAACTACCTTGAGTCTTGATCCTTTAACCCCTTCGAGCAACTGAGTTCTTACTTCTTCTTACAGTATCACCCTTAAATCAAATTTAAACGTTATAAGAATAAATTGATATAGGAAGCTTCTGATATCCAAACAAATTCTCCTTGCCATTACCATAGGAAATGTAGATGGATAGATAGATAGATAGATGGTTTATTTAAATCACATCGCAGCCCGAGGACAATAATTTATGATAAATCTATGTTAAATATAATGGTAAAAATGTTTAAACTTGTAAAACTTTTTCATCCTTGAACTAAAATTTAAGAAATAATCCATGTATTATGAGAAGATGCGTTTAATAGCCGGGACATTGCAAGTATGAAAGTGTTATTTGCCCTATTGGTGTGAACGCGCGGTAAAACAAAGGGACGATTGTATCGAAAATTATAAACAACATTATTTTTCTGTGGCAGTAATCCATGTAGCTTATGGTTGGGGTCGGCTACTATGGCGTCAAACAGTTTGGTGCATAGCTGACTATGGTGTTCGGTTATTGGCGTGTAGAGAGATCAGTGTGGAGAAAATCAACCCCAATTTTGGGGTGTAGTACAGAAAGTGAGCAGGGGTCTTTGCTTTGACAGGGCAGGGTTCGAAACCGCGGTTGCACACCTTTCTTCAAACTTCTCTTAAATTGCCACTTGACGCAAATAAAAATGCAAATAAGCGTTTCGCATTCGTTTTTTCATGAGGAGGTGAAGAGAAAACGGAAAAGACAGCACTTTTTATGTTTCTTCAAACCAGCCCCGAAGTAAAACTTGACTGGTTACACCAAGAGAATCCGCCGTTTGACTACCCTCTTATAACGACAGCGGCTTTGATAGTCTGCTAGTACATCCATTTTGCTTGGACGGAATCAGTAAACGCTTGAAAATATCCGACTACACGTTGGGAAGTGGTTTGAAAATAAAATGATGACGTGCAACTAAGTTGGTGAAGAAAGACATTTTATTAATGGGTTCTTAACCACGTACTCGTAATATTGGCCAAATTTCCGTGCCTAATGAAATTGGCCGAAATTTACACTATCAAAAATCTACAGAGCAGTGTTGTGGCGAGTTTCGATCCCTCTCGTTCTAAAGTTCTCCCGACTTAATTCTGTTACCACTAAACGTGTTCTGATTGCATTGCTCTGTGACTATCTGTCTTCGCAAAACGTTTAATATTTATTAATATTTATTTATGTATTCAAACACACGCTCCTGTATTTCGATTGCAACGAAATTTCCTATTTTGAGCTTTGTTTTCATGAAGTTTAAAGTTTTTGTTGCGCAAAATTTGTCGCAGTCTCCACAGCTTTCTTTACACAGCCAACGTTGGACCCAGATCCCTGCGCAGACTGGTCCTTCCCGCCACATTTTCCACCAATCAGCTCGGACACTGACTTTACCCACTCATCTGCCTTCAGACCGCGCGCAATCGCATCCTGCAGACCAACCATAAGAAAATTCAGTATATACTAAAACAATCAATAGCGTTGAAGGTGCGCTCTGATTGGCTACTTAAACTGTAAATATCCTTAGCTATTCACCTCCGAGTAACTCGCGCGTGATTTGCACCCGAAAATATTGTAATCGTTGCAGGAAGAGAAAGAGGTAAAATTATCATTTGGTGCTATATTATCTCACTACAACGGCTAGGTGAATATTAACACAATCCACCTCAGTAAATAGTGGTCAACAATGAACCGTCTTCGTGATTTCAGAATCACTCGCGTACCTTTTTTGGTTGCACAAATAAATATTTTGGTTGCAATACAAAGATTGTTGATAGTCATGTTAAACGAGCGGTTTTCACATAGATTTCAGAGCAGCATTCTGTCAAAGGCGAACAATTAGCTTATGGCCCCTGAGAATGAATGGTGAAATGTTATGAGATCTAAGGGGAACTAAATAATTTTCATCTCAGTCATAGCAAAGTAGGTATGAAAAAATTATGACACTGTCGGAGTTCTTAGATTTCAAAGACGAACCTGCAACCTTTCGAGATCACCAATAATCTAAAAATTGATTCAGTACCTCATGCAACAGTTTTGCAATTTTTAGCACATTTGAAGGCAAATTCTGAGGGATCATGTTAATCTTTGGAATAGCAAAATACAGCAATAGTTAAGTTCAAAGAACTTTTTTTCAATAGCGGAAATATACATGATATGGCCTCTGGAGCATGTTTCCCCAGTAACAAACCTTGGGTACTTGAGCCAAGCAGATGATCTTGGAGTTTTCTTCGTCCACACTGAAAAGAAGAGCGGCCATTTTCGGAGCCAGGCTTTTGAACTGTTTCATGGCAGCGTCAAGAATCTTAAATGAAAAAATGTACAAGGAAAGTCTAGAAATTATGAAAAATATACCCACCAAGAATTTATCGGTTAGTCACGTGTTCACACTAGTTAGGGTGCGCAATGCATCTCGGAAATAGGACATATTGTATGTTTCACCTCTATCATGGCGTTGTTACCTGTCTTTCCAACGGTACAGTTAAGTCACTCACCTTAGAATTTGAACCAGCATCAAACACATCAACAACAAATGATCTGTTAGGATCTGCTTCCACTATGCCTTTCGCTTTATCGATCGCCTGAAAAAGAAAGAAAAAAAAAGTTAATTAAATTTACAGCAAGTTCTTCATTCGCACTCATTCCCCAAACGAGTTACAAGACTGAGATATTCATGCCAGTGAGATAAACAACCCTCTTCACATTTTCTTCGTAGCAAGACTACTTTTCTACACAACTTTGACTACTAATGTCGTGCTGTAGTGGCCCAAATTAAAGCAGGATTTCCCAGTTTCTGTATCTTTTAGTGGGAAAGCTGTAGTTCATTCAACATCCCTGCTGTTTAAAAATTAAGTTTTAGAGAGAACATGTCACTGTTTACAAAAAGGTATTCTCCTTGCTTACTTACACTTCCTATCGTATTCCCATTGAGAATTTTGTAACTAGACCAAGACTATTCTCCATATCGACTTCCTCATTCTCCTTACTAATCTCATCTCTAATCGCAAACAGCCGAGACAACTTCTGAAAAGTTTAAAATGACTCACTTGTTGCTGCAAGACGGTTTTCTTCGCTTTGTCGGCGTCGTCAACTAGTTTCTTGACAATTTTCAATTTGGATCTCATTTCATCTTTCCGCCAGGCCGAAATGACGGCTGCAGATATATCCTTATAAAGGAAAAACAAACACCAATGTTCAAAATACCGCTCTATCCTTGTCACAAATCATACTAGACATGTGTTGGACAAAAGAGTGAGCGCGCTTTACTCCCCATCGAAAGTTTCGGGGTGTTACCCTGTGTTATAAGGCAACACTTTACTCTCACAGTGCTTAACTCCACTAGAGAGAATAAATGTTTATCGGTCAACTGGGTAACCCGATGAAATGCAGACTTTTTTGTTATGACTAACAGCTTGAAAATAATTGATCAAACGACACTTCCCCATGGTGAAGATTAGAGTAGAAAGCGCGTCAATAAAACACTGAAGGAACAAATTCACTACCTCAGCTCACAATAAACGTGACTTTTTTATAACAATAAACATAACACGCAAAACGTAACGCTGGTAGAAGTATCTTGATCATCGTATTGATACAAAACATTAAAAATTATTATTATTATTATTATTGTTATTATTATTATGTTACTACCTGTAGAACGAAGCGCACCGAAGACTTTTTCACTTTTAGTATTTTCAACAAATGTGATATATGTTCTGGTGTGGTGTATATAATTTGTACTTAATATATATAGAAATGTACATAGTTGATCTTATTAAGTTTTCATTGTATTATAACTCGTTAACTCAGTAAGTTACTGCAAGAGAGTTTAATAAACTATTATTATTATTATTACCTCACTAATTCTTGTGATTTCTTGTGAAGTTTCTTTAATGTTAAGCCCACCATCCTTCATCTTTTCCTCCACCAGATTCTGAACATTTTCAACTCTCTCTTCCAGCGAGTGACATTTCTTCTCGGCTTTCAGAGCTTCGGGTCCTGTGAGAGCCACAATTCTCCTAATTCCTTTAGAAATGGCTTCTTCTGACACGAGGACAAATGATTTCATGTGTCCTGTGTTCTGTAGATGCCTGATGATAAATAGTAGAAAATCTTCAGAACGATAGAGTAATTCCAGTTGAGTTTCAAACGCAATTTGGAATTGAAGGAAGTGATTTCAAACTTCTTTACTTTGCTCTGTGATTGGTCAAGAAAACTCGCTCCGCCCTAATAACCAATCAGATGCGAAGTTACAACCAACCACGTCGCGGTTAATCACGTTTTCCCGCGCTTAAAAGAGCTTGTATGTAATCAATTCAAGTTCCCATTGGCTTCTGATCATAATTTTCTTTTGTTCTGATTGGCCGTCGTAGTTTTTTGAATTTTAGATTCCTTCAAGAAAACTCCATCGAAGGTCACTGCAAAATACCTCAGACGTAATCGAGCCTATAATATTACGAATTTAGTTCATGTTTTGCAGCTGCTTACAGGGATTAGCTGCTGTAGTTGCTTTGATCAATTATCACATGATTTAAGTGTTGCTGCTACAACGCACTGAACCAGCGATAATTACCAAACAAAAGTACACACCTCTCGCCAAGGGCGAGAAAAAATGAAACACAGAGTCGCGTGAACCTTGATTTTTCTTCTGATTGGTTTCAACGGAAGCGTTTACTCTTTCAATTGACAGCAGTCGGAAGAAGACTTTATTTCAGTAAAAACTAAAACTCAGATATCAAGCGGTGTGTCCCTAGATTAGCTTTGACTAATACTTGGATAAGAACAAAAGCGCATGATTACGCCTGAAGGACCGTGAATATTACTTACGTTCCTCCACAAAACTCGACAGAATACTTGTATCCAGCCTGTGGATCGTCTCGAAGTTCATC